AAAATGTCAGCTCGATTGGATCACGGGAAGTGGGTTAAAAAAACGACCGAAAGATTTGCACGGTCGTAAGCGCACAAGCAAGCAAGCAAGTGAACTTAATATAAAGGATTTAAAAACATTTATCTCATGACAAGCTTCCACACACTCCAGTGTGCATGCAGAGTCACCTGACTCAGCAGAGCCAATCACAGGAGCAGGCCCTGTCACAGTGTGAAATTGGCACCATGTGAGTTATCGTAAAGAAAGAGCGATGATGCGTCATCGTTTTTTTTTTAAGAATGGCTGAGCAAGTGATATGTATATAGCTGTGCGGGAGAGTGGGCACCTGGGTCTGGTGATGGAGGACGTTTTTTTAAGCTGTAACCTTGAGTTTGGAGAAGCCGTTCAATGGCGTCTGGGGTCATCGGGTGAATTCCGTGTTTGTACCTCTTGAGGAAGTTGTCGCACCTGCCGTGCAGTGCTTAACAGGGTCAACTTTTGTGATGAACTGGGGAAGTCGCCCTTTGAACCACTCGCCGCATTACAACACTTTCAATTATTACACTAGCTATGCATGCAATTAATTGTACATGTATGTATGTATTAATAGTGGTCAAAATTGTTTTTTTGCGCGTTGGGTCATTAAACGGAAAAAAAAAACATTTTCCCTTCCACGTCCACGGGCTATTTTGGCGGTAACGGAATTAGAACGCGTGTGTTGGATTGTTGGATCGCAGGACCACGAGAGATGGCTGATGGCTCGGTGAGGCCTTCGTCCAACAGTGGATCAATCATGTCCGACGATGATCAGGGTGACGATTATTTGGGCTTCTGTCGAGTGTCAATGTTCTTTACGCAGCAGTTTGGTGCGATGCGGAAGAGAACCGGTTCCATACTGAACCTGCATTATTGCGCTTGGCGAGATGATAACTACCTCGCCTGGTATACAGGAGGCCGTGGGTTCGATCCCGACCCTAACGCCTGCGAATTTGGAATTTGCGTGTTCTCCTTGTGGTCGTGTGGACCACGTGATAAGCCACTTCGTTGGGCTATCATTTGTGGCCAGGTGTTGCTTCTTAAAAATAGCTATTTAGCTAAGTGCGGCTTACCTGGTAAAATTACCAAACAGTTTAGTGCAATTCTATTACTGTCCAGTTACCCCTCTATATGGATGTCTGTTAAACGTGTTGTGCGTGGGGGTGTGTGTACGCGAGCTTCTGTTCATAGAGAAATTGCCAAAATTTATATCGAATAATCATCGTCATCATCCATTGCATGAAAACCTTCTCTACCATTGTCGCCACCCTTCACGGTCACGCGATGCCGTAATCCATCTCGCTGCGGCACATGAACTGGTGGTGAATATGTGGTCTCATTGGAAGCATAATGATCGTGAGTGGGCTAAAGTCCAAGAGGTCAAATGAGCCAATGCCGTTGATGTCATCATAATCCCAACAACATCACTCAGTTGACCTTTGGTCTTCGGGGGAATACAAATGTTCGTATGAGAAAGCTTGGCAATAACCAACTTGAAACATGACAATGTCATTGGATCTCCCCCGTTGCGCATCACAGTCTAACTTTCTGTTGCATTATCCTGCACTGTGGGTGAAGTGTAGGAAATATGACGCCTTTTTTTAGGATGCATTTCCCTGTCGTCGTATATTCCAGTTGTGACATTGTCATCGCGTAATGGGAACAAAAAATTCGGAACTCTCGCAGCAAGCAGTGCACCACCCTGCCTTGCAGAGGCCCCAGAATATGATCCTACAGAACTACTCGTGGGAGAATCACACACGAGGCACACAACTTGTGTACGCTTGAGAACCCAGTTTAATCACAACTCAGTCGATGTTAGTCTACGCGTAAATCTAGATTGAAAACTCCAATGGAGACTAGGCTCTAAGAAAAGTTGTCTCGGGTGTGGACCAATCAACTTCAAGGACAGTGCATATCATTATCAGAGTTGTTTCTTTTTGTTTGCATTTTGACTGCTTGTGTTGTGGTTATTGCAAACACGATCCCTTGTATAAAGGTGTCAGTTTTTGTACCAGTTGAAAGGGTAAAAACCTATTACTATACTTCATTTCTTTAGAACCGATTTTTGTGTTTAATTGGTTGTCTTTCCCCCGCACCTCCGATTAGCAGTTATCTCCGTGCGGTGTGAAATAAGTTCAACATAGGTACAATCTATGCGTCTCTATGCCAGTCATTGGTAACGAGGCTGAAACCGTCAACTCGCTACGCTTGAGAACCCGGTTTAAAAAGCACAGGCATCTGTAATCTATATTAGAACCCAGGATCTCAGCAGGGCTGGGGCGGTGCGCTTGCACCAAAGTCGGCAAATCACATCACGAAAATATGATTGTCAGCTGAGGTCAACACACCCTCATAAATGCTACTCCACGCTCATGGCTGACTTTGTCCCATTCCTGGAGCGTGCTCCTTGAGCTCGCTCCGGCTGATCGACCATGCAGCTCGTTTCCATTGTTTGCACGCAATCTGAAAGACAACCGTGGGAGAGACACGGAATGTTTAAAAAACCCATCCAGTGCCTTGGCCGGTCCCCGTGGGGTCAGCAGTGGAGATGTCAGAGCGGGTTTTCTTTTTTTTACTTCCCCGTGACCAAACAAAACCCCAATGTGACGAGAAGTGAACCGATGTTGAGAGATGATAATCTCACCCCCAGAGTGAAACTCAGCAGATACGCCAAAAGGAGAGCACCGTTGTGAATTTTCAATTTATTTTTGTCGTAATCTGTTGGCAGAGCGCCACCACCACCACCTACTGTGCGCTGATGCGGCCCAGATCCAGTATTGTGGTGATGGGGTGGGGGCTCATTGTAGGAGAAGCGCCGCGCGTGTCAACAACAACAACAGTCGCCGTTCACAACTAAGTGGTGGCAACTTCACCACGGCGCTCGTGCCAGGCCAGTGGCACTTAGAAGCCACGTGAAATGTCGAAAGGTCATTGGCAGGAGGTCACGGAATAGACCCAGGTGCCATGTGTTAACCGACTGAGACGATTGGCAGATGCATCAACTGTGCTCCGCACCGTGCCAGCCCTTTTAGCCACCCGGCGCTCCGCTCGTTGTTGTGAGTGTCGCTCCTCCGCCCTCCGTTGTTGCTGGAGGGCGACGGCCTCCCAACTGCCCAGCAGCAGCGTCCTTCACGAGCCTCCTCCACATGCGTGTCAGCGCACACCTACTCCTCCTCCTCCGCCCCCACCTCTCTCAAACCCACTCTTAGCGGGCAGCCTGAATGATGCGAACCAACATCGGCTCCCAAGAATAAATCAGGTGGTGGTGGTGGTGAGAAGGGTGGCGCAGAAAGCCTCCTTGGGCATCACTCGGCCCTGCTCGGTCTCCCCTTCACCACCGTCACTGCCCACGATCAGCACAATGGCAACGGTGGCGCTGTGGGAAGGGGGGGTGGTAGTGGGGGTGCTGAGTGGGGGGGGCGTCGCGATGAGTGCTTGTTATTGTGGCTCGAGACATCCGCACTGCAGCACGCTGACGTCAGGCGGGATATTTTTACCGTTGCGGTGTGTGGGCGTGATAGCCCCAGCTTCTGTGTGTGTGTGTGAGCCTCTGTGTGTGTGTGTGAGCCTCTGTGTGTGTGTGTGTGAGCCTCTGTGTGTGTGCGTGAGCCTCTGTGTGTGTGTGAGCCCCTATATATTTGTGTCAGCCCATTGTGTGTGTGCGAGCCTCTGCGTGCGTGTGTGTGAGAGAACTTGGAGCATGCCACGAAGAGATGTAGCCTTACCATCAGCATGGGTATTTTATAACATAAAATACTCCACCCGCCTCAACTTTCCTTGAGTGATGGGCCAGTTGTGGAGAGAGTGGAGAAGTTTCTGTACCTGGACAGTGTGCTTATAACCAGCTCCGGGCTTGGCAGCAGGGGTCTCATTCCGGATCAGCCGAGCGATATTATCTTTTCATCAACTGCGTAACGCTGTGTGAAAGCTACCTGTCCTGTCACTCTACAGGAAGCTTCGGGTCTTCTCGGCCACAGTTTCGGCCTCCCTTCTCTTTGCTTGCAAAATGTGGACCCCTCTAATGGAGCATCTACGCCGGTTTGAAACATTCAGGCTGGCCTGCCTACAGACCATTATGGGTCTAACCAGGCTGGATTACAGTGTGAGGGGCGCTACAGATCCTAGAAAGAGCTGGATAGAGTCCCATCGGTGAGCTCGTCCGACAGAGGCTGTTCTGGTTGGGTCATAGCCCGCATGCCGAGCCATTGCCGTCCCCAAGCGGCTAATGTTTGGCCAGATAGTGGGGGCTAAACGGGCAAAGACACAGGCTAGAGAGGAGATGGACTGATGTTATACAGAAATATGTGGAGCTGAGTGGACTTGCCGATGACTGCTACCAGCAGTGTCAAGATCCTTCTGTGCATGTACAATTGTGTGTGTATGCGTGGAGTCTGATTTGGTATGTAAATAATATGTATATACTATAGTTTGATGAGAAATCGGAACAGCATTTTCTTTTCATATTTTGGAAGGTAGAGGCCATGCTGGGATTTTGGCCACCGGCTTGGCTCTTCAGAAAAGTACAAACAAAAATTCCTGGAAACATAAATATCCTTACCAAATCAGACGTGCTGCTACGGCCGCTAGCGCCAAAATCAATGCGCGCTCACACAGCGTATTGAGCGTGCGCTGTTGGTTTTGCATTCGCAATTGAGATGGTGTCCTTGAAATCAAACGCGTGCGATCTTGGAACTGTCCACTTTGTTGACGATATTCCGGCAATCGGCGGAACGATGACGGACGTATTCGCAGCGGGCCACTGTCTCTGGCAATTGTCCTGCTTCAGAGCCACAGAGCAAAGGGAGTTCTACTTGCCGACGTGTCGGCTTGCTGTTTGTGTTAAGCGGGCAGCGTTCATGATGAACTTGGCAAGTGTGTTTTCATTTGTGCTCGTGTCACTGCCAACAGGTCCCGGTCTCTTGTTGTTGTTGTTTTTAATAAATATCCTCTTCTCTGTCCCTCCCCCCGCCCGCCCCGTGCAGTCCTTCCAAGGGAGCCAAGGAAGGGCGTATTTGTTCAACTCTGTGTAAGTTTGCCTCTATTTACATCACGGCTGTGTGTGTACGGAGGGGGAAGCCACCGCCTTGCTTGAGACTTGAGCCCGCACGATCAATCGATTGGTCGGCTACAGATTGTACGACTTCCTTTTTGTGGTCAATTACCCGGTGGGCCCTTTGAAAAATGGCGCCCACCCCCACATCCCACCTTCCGAAGGTGGGAAACCCCCCAAACAAGCCACGCCCAGCGTTACAGCGGCTGATGATGCCGATGACGTCACCAAGCTCGTCCGTTACCTCCCGTCCAGCGACACACTTAAGAGCAGAGGTGAGACATCTTTTTTTTCTCCCAATTGTGTTTTCACGATCGGTTGAGCCATCGATCCGACGATCGGTGGGGCCATCGATTACTTCGGTAACGGGGTCACAGCCCAGGCTGTACGGGGTCACAGCCCAGGCTGTACGGGAGGCGCAACGCTGGCCACCGCGGCTGGGCGGCGGCGGCTGCCGATGTGCCATCCGATGCCCCGCGGCTCCACATTTGGTGGCGTGCTTTGGCATCGGATGCAACCCCCGTGCTGTGCCGTTAGCGCAAATGACTTATCACGGCATTATCGACGCGTTCGCCTCGCCCAGTCCGCCCGCCCGGTACAGGACGTCGATGCCGCTCGAGCGTGGATGGAGCCGATTCGTCCACCCCAGACGATTTTGGTAGATTCCTTCGATTTTGTGGTTTACGATTCGATTCGTGAAATGTGTCCATTTTGGTGCCCACGGTGGTGCATGTGGCCCTCCCTCCGTGTCCTCACGATGTTGATCATGACGAGGATAATGAGGATGATGATGATGGGGGCGCGTTGATGACAGAGCGGTGTGAATGTATGAGACGCATCGTGTTCTGAGCATATCGTCTTTAGCCGTGAGCGAGCCACTGCAGGATGAAGGCCTCCTAGCACCAACGCCATTGCTGTCGTGGCACTGCAACGCCGCGTCTCGCTCCTGCATGGCTCCATCTTCGCAGTGGTCTTACTCTCGGGCGTCTTCTCACCTTTGGCTGACACCCTAGGGGCCGTCCATAAATGACGTCACGCACCTAGGGGAGGGGGCTGGGGGGGTCAGACATTTGTGACGATGTGCGACGAGGGGGGGGGGTATGAGAAATGTGACGTCACATCAAAATGCACAACTTTAAATAAATATAGACAACTACTTAATTAAAAAGTAGTTTTAATAAATGTTTTCTCCTACAGTAGTGCCACATTAAATTCGCACTACAATGACAATAGTTTAAAGCGATTTGAAGCGTTTTTTATTTCTTGGGGGGGGGGGGTCAGAGCTTTGTGACGTCATATTTGAGGGGGGGTCTGACTTTTTGTGACGCCGTGTGACGAAGGGGGGGGGGGGGCAAAAATCGTCCAAAATCACGTGACGTCATTTATGGACGGCCCCTTATCACCAAGATCATCCATCGACGTCCCCCCCCCAAAAAAACTTGGCAGCACCCTCCTGAAAGAGAGAGACTCGATGAGAGGAGGCTTTCCTGGGTAAACAAGCATAAAAAATTGTAATAAATAATAATTGCGCTTGAGCCTGGTGAGTGCTTGGATGGATGACTGCCGATAAATACCAGCAGACGCAGGCTTAGGCTGGGGAGGTGGCCAAGGGATAAAAGCACAGCGATGAATTCTTTAATAAATCTGTGCTGTTTCCCTCTCGTATGCACAGTGGGTTTCCTCTGGATACTCGGGTTTTCTACTCGTGAAACTCAACAATCATTCATGAAGGCTGCCAAACGAAGGCTGCCAAACCTATTTGTTGTAATACGTTATTTGTTGTTTGTGCCTTTGCTTTTGATGCATTTTCTTAATTTGTTTATTCATTTTAGATTTTGCTCGGTAGTAGGCTTTTCATTTGCTTGGTATTGGCTGTATATGGGATTTGGTCCTCATATATAATTAATATACCTCGTTATGGGATGCTAGTAGCATGAATGATGCGAAACAAAATGAAAGTGTTATTATGCCGATACAGGGCCCTCCAAGAAGGGAGTCTTGAGGCTCAGTGCGGTCTTTCCTTGGAAAGACAAATATAAACGGAAAAATCCAGGACAGTCGTATTAGAATCGACTTGTAGATGATGACCCGTTGCATCATCCGCGCGCGTCCCATGCTGCGATAGCGCGCGCGAATGCAAACTGCCGCTGCCACAGCCAAAACCGCCACCTCCGCTGGAAGAGCGCGGACGTACACACAGCGGCGCCGTCAACGGCCCCCCCCCCCCCGTAGGGCCGAGCGGGCACGGGGAAGTCGATCAACGGAACAAGACGAGAAGCCTCCCCACCCGGCTCCCTCCCTGCCCCCCCCTCTCTCTCTCTCCTATTTCCTTCCCCCGGCCAACAATTTGTATCGAACGAGCGGAGCCGCGATTTGGCCGTGAGCGCGACATAATGCGGAATATCGGCGCGCGGGAGAGGCTGGGCATCCGCGCACGCACGCACGCACGCAGGATGGCGCGGCGCGCGCGTGGCAGTGCTCCCGATGTAGCGGCCGATCGAATTGATGCCAGGCTCAGTTTTGTCTCCTGGAGGAGCTGTGTAATTCTGCACGTCCCCTGCACCCGCTGATGGGATTCTGCAAAACCTGGTCTTGGCCAGGCGCGGTCGGTGAGCCTCGAAGTTCAGCGTCTGTTTAGGCTGAGCGTGCATGTGTTTGTGTGTGTTTTGTTTATTATGATTGCGACGCTTGTCTTTGCTAAGGAAAGCCTCCGTGAGTCTTGCAGTATTGACCAGGCGGGCCACTGGATTCGAATTGTCAACGTCTGTGACAGGTGGCCAACTCGCGTCCGCTCGGCCTTGCGCGAGGTGATCCCCCACCTCCTGCCCCGATTGCCGAGTGATTCGGTGGATCGTCGCGATTCGGGATCGCGATTCCGTGGAACAGTTGATTCGCTGGCGTCTCGTTTTCACCGACTCATTGGTCCCGTTTTGCTCGTCTCATTGGATCGGACGCAACGCGAGACGTTGGAACTGTGCACGAACTCGAGAGCACTTCGATTCGCGTGAATTGTGAATGTACCAATTGATGTAAAGGACACTGCTGTTGTGTATGGACATCAATGAGGTGTTTTGGGCTAGATCGCGTAAATATATAAATCTGTCGTTAAACCCGCCACCCAAAACACCTCTATTATTGATATTGGTCACGAAAGCCTACATGTTAAACAGAGTGCATTTACTCTGTGTATGGTGTTTGTATGTATGTGTGTGGATACTGGATAGTGTGTGTGTGTGGATAGTGTGTATGTGTGTGTGGATAGTGTGTATGTGTGCGTGTGTGCTACGAACCCGGCGGCCCGGGTAAATGTCCCATTCGCGTCCAACACCGGTGACGATTATCTGAACCGGTCCCTGGGCCTCCCTGAGGTCGACTCAGCCTCAAATGAGTACGTGGTGTGGTGTGCAAACATCGCCACTGGGGAGACAAAGGCGGCCAGGCGCGGTGCTGGCCACCCACCCCCTCGTGTACCATGCCCGGATTCGTAGGTGCTCGCTTAACAGCACTTGCCCCAAAAGTCTGCTAAGGCTATGAGAGGCACGTTTGTCTTTGCAGCGTCTGTGCGCATCATGAATTACAATCCCATTGCGCGTGGAGAAAATAAATCAGGTTCGCTGTCAGACGCTGTGCCCCCCGTCACCTCCGAAGCCTGGAGTTGTACGTGCCCTTTAATGGAACGGTCAGCGAGAACGCCGGCCGATTTACACCACCAACGCGCGCGGTGGGGAGGGAGGGGGGAAGAGATCAAACATAAGAGGTCGTCTCACAGTTGAGCTACAAACAAACAAAATACAACAACAACAACCACCACCACCACGCGGACCGAACTAAGATGGGACAAGACGAGGGGGTTGACCGAGAAATACCTCCCAAAGGCCGATTTCTTTCCCCGCCGCGTTGCCGACTGATGCCAACCAAACGGTCGCCAGGTCACCCGTGGCCCGCGACGAATCTGCTGCGGACGACTCGACTCTACCAGGCGACAGGAATGGTGTGTTTCGGTGATGCCCGTTAGGATGTGTCTGCTGATTTGTGCCGCGCGTTGTTCGGAATCGGGGCTTTGGTTCAGCCCGGGGAACGGGGGAGTCAATAAAGTTGTTGCCGGTGAATATTCTGTGCGAAATTAAAGGAGCACTTGGTGTGCGCTGCGTGCAATCATCGGCACCGGGCAGATAAAGTTGGCCGGAACAGTGGTGCTGGTCACGCCGCCCCCTCGCGCCGCTCGGCCTTCACAGGTACTCCCTAACAGCACTTGCCCCAACAGCCCTGTATGGCTATACGGGGGATCTTTGTCTTTGTCTGTGCAGAGTGAACGTGGGCTGCGGGCCGGCAGAGGAGCGGGTTCTGTTGACCGGGCTGCACGCGGTCGCCGACATCTACTGCGAAAACTGCAAAACCACCCTGGGCTGGAAATACGTGCGTTGGTTTCCCTGGGTCTTAAGTAGGCGTGCCGGTTGAAGCAGTCGGTGGCGTGGGTTCATGCAGTCGGTGGCGTGGGTGAATGCAGTCTGGGCGTGGGTTCATGCAACCGGTGGCGTGGGTGAATGCAGTCTGGGCGTGAGTTCATGCAGCCGGTGGTGTAGGTTCATGCAGTCGGGGGCGTGGGTGAATGCAGTCGGGGGCGTGGGTTAATGCAGCCGGTGGCGTGGGTGAATGCAGTCTGGGCGTGGGTTCATGCAGCCCGTGGTGTAGGTTCATGCAGTCCGGTGGCGTGGGTTAAAGCCGGTGGCGTGGGTGAATGCAGCCGGTGGTGTGGGTTCATGTAGCCGGTGGTGTAGGTTCATGCAGTCTGGGCGTGGGTTAAAGCCGGTGGTGTAGGTTCATGCAGTCTGGGCGTGGGTTAAAGCTGGTGGTGCAGGTTCATGCAGTCGGTGGCATGGGTTAAAGCCGGTGGTGTGGGTTCATGCAGTCGGTGGTGTGGGTTCATGCAGCCGGTGGTGTAGGTTCATGCAGTCTGGGCGTGGGTTAAAGCCAGTGGTGTGGGTTAAAGCCAGGTGAGTGAGTTTAAAGCGATGCCATGGGAGAGGAAAGGGATGATGCACAGATGAATTGCTTTGGCCCAGTGCCAGATGCAGGGCAGGTTTGTGCCCTCCCAGAGAAGTGCTGCGTGCTCGTCAGCAGATCTCTCCCCGGCCTGCTGAGGTTCCACCTTGTGTGGTGTTGGCTTCTGCCTTGCTCGTGCCCCAGTGCAGTGACACGGAGATGTGTATACCCCCCCCCACGCTCATTGCTCTTAATTGTCTCTGGCACCCCTCAGTCAGGGCCGGATTAGTGTTATGATAGGCTTAAGGCGAATAGGAGGGAAGGGCCTAAGTATGTATTCATTTTTTTCACCTGAAGACGATGGCTTGTGTTGCTATCGAAACGTCGTGTTTTATTAGTTATTTTTTTCTCTCTACGTGACTTTACCGAATGAACCAAAGAGTATGAATTAGATTTCAATAAAAAAATGACCAATTCGTCAAACGTATTTATTGACCCATGTAAAAGAAACACTTTGATTTAAATTCATCAAACGTAAATCGCTCACGACATTCATTTCTTTAAACAATGTTTTTTCCATATTATTTGGGTCTTTCGGTAAAGCCACGTAGATAAAAAAAATTCACCTGATGACGATTGCTTGTGTTGCGATCGAAACGTCGTGATATTTGTATTATTTTTTCTGCCTACGTGGCTTTACCGAAAGACCCAAAGAATATGAATTCCTGCAGTCACGAAAGCTCTAAGTCAATGTTTCCCCCCCCCCCCCCCTCCATAGCTTCACCTGTGGCAATGTCATGAATGGTGTCATAGGAGTTGAAAGACACAATATTTCTGATGGCCACGCTACCGTCACTCAGCTGTTACTTCAATATGGAAATGAGGGCCTAAAAATGAGGGCCTGATCCGGCCCCTGTCCGCAGTGCATTTTATTGTTGCCATTGCTGAATGCGGTAATGCGCTCCTAACATGGCCATGGTGTTGTTGTTGTGCAAAATTGTACGATTTTGATCTTAGCGAGGAGTTTATTTTGTTAAACCAGGCGAGAAATGGATAGGCCAGGATCGTCTCGTATGCACGAGTGACCCGGGCAGACGCCAAAGGGTCCGGCATTGGTACAACACGGGCGCTGGCGGCACTGAAAGCGATGGATCGTGTTTATATCTTAACGGGGCATTAGGAAATTTAAATCAACAGCTGTGTGCGCTTTTGGCATCGCACGGCAAGTGATGCCTGGGATGCTCGAGTAACGGTGAAGGCCTGCATTCAAATTCAGATCCGATTCCCTGCAGTATTTACATTTGTTTTTGCGCTTTTTAAAATCCTTTATATTAAGTTCACTTGCTTGCGCGCTTACGACCGTGCAAATCTTTCGGTCGTTTTTTAACCCACTTCCCGTGATCCAATCGAGCTGACATTTTGCACACAGACTCGTTGTGCGTGACAATTTATTTCCGTGAAAATTTTCTTCCAAAATTTTACACTTTTTAGGAAAAAATAAATTATATTTAATTACCAATTGCTTAATGATGGCAGGCAATCATCTGACCCATAGGTGGCAGCCATCTCAAGCCAGAGGACGAGAGGACTCTAGCCGCCACGCATATAAAGGATTTATAGTGAAAATCCTTCCACGCAGGAAGAGATGCGTGTTTGAGTCGACTCCAACTCGGTGAAACAAAGAGTCGTCTGTCTCAAAATATGGGTTGTTTTTTTCTCTCTCCCTCAGAATATTTAATTAAACTGCAGAAATCCGATGAGCTATAAAGCTCTTCTCCCCCACAGATGTCCAGTTTTAGGGGGGTGGGGGGGAGGGTTTCGGGTCAGAACGTCACATCAACCCCGGCGTTGTGTGTAGTTAAGGTCCCGTTTTTGCGTGAGCTGCAACGACCCTTCCTCCTCCTCCTCATTAACCGCCGTGTGTCTTCATTGACGCCGTGTTCGTGTGCGCAGGAACACGCGTTCGAGAGCAGTCAGAAGTACAAGGAGGGTAAGTACATCATCGAGCTGGCGCACATGATCAAGGACAATGGCTGGGACTGAGCCTCCCCTCCGCCCACCACTTCGGTCAGCAGTCACTTCAGAGCCCCCCCCCCCCCTCCTCCCCCCGGCTGCCCCCGGGTGGAGTGAGTGGGGGGGGGGTCAGGGATGGGGGCGGGGGGCGCGTGCCGGGGGGTGTGGGGGGGGGCAGACTTCGCTTGAAGAAGAGGGGGGGGGAGGGGCGGGGCACCCACCCACGTGTATTCCTCGAGGTGGAGGTGGTGGTGGCGTTGTCGTCTTGTGACGAGCGTCTTGCCGTCTGTACCCACCGTTTGACGTCCTCGTCTCTGTCCGTGGTTTTCCGTCTTCTTCTCTCCCCCCCCGCCCGCCCGCCCCCCCTCCCCCATTGGGACGTCGTGAGGCGACCAGGCCAGGGAGAGGCTTTGGGGCAATCGATCAGAAATGAGAGAGATGGTCACACGAACTAAAAACGAAAACGAATCCCTCGCGCCGCACGCTCGCTCGCTCGCTCTCTTCTCTCTCCCACTCCATCTCCACGGCGGGGAGAGATGAGTTACGCTGTGTCGTCGGGGTTTATTTTCTTTCTAAAACGAGCGCATGATTTGGTGGATCAAAAGCTGGGCAATTAAGTTATATTTTTTTGTTTGTTCGTTATTATTATGGTACCATACAATTGCGCTTCTAAAATTACGTCAAAAATACCGAGGCATCTCGGCTCTGTTACAGTTTGTATTTTTATTATTATTTTTGCGTTTACGTGTAAATTGTGATTGAACCCGTTGTAGGAAATGGCGAAGCATTTATTTATTTATTGAAACAAATTTTTGTTTAACTTTTTCGCGCATCGCGGTTTTCGCGATGACTTGAGACTCAGCGCACACCGCGTGGCCGGATGTAACCCCGTTGCGGCCGCGTTGACCCCTAAGCCTGCGTCGGTGGAGCCTCGTTTAAAGATTTAGCCGTCTGCCATCAGATATACACATATACATACATGCCCGTCTCTAGACGTGCGCGCGACGCGTGTTCAACTGAGGCTGTTGTGTCTGTTACGATGCCGCTCCCTCCTAACTCCTCATTTATTTAAAATGTGTACCTGTAACATGAACGAGATTTTTTCTTTATTGTATCGTTTCAAAATCCCAAGCACCGAGCGTTCCGTCATGGATGATGAACTTCGTGATCGGTGCGCGAATTGGAAGGGGCGCAAAGCGGCGTGCTTGGGAAGTGGCCAAGCGGATGGTGAATCGTTCTTTTGGGTGCTAATTTGTGTATTTTTCTGCTCGGTTTATCGGCCCTAAATTTGCGTCTTTCTCGGGGCGATTCCAGAAATCACAATCTTATCAATTGTTTTATTTATTTATACCACTTTTTTTACACACAAACTGATGGCTATTGAATTTAGCAGTTTTATAGCAAATATTATTTTCCCCGCTTATTTAGCACTTGGTCTTTTATGTTTACCAGCGCCTTTAAAGGCAGTGGGGAGAGGTGGTCGGGAAGGGAACACGCCCCAACCCCTCCTCCTTATTTGCCCATAAATCCGGTAAATCAAACCACCCCGTTTGTACCCCTTTGATACGCAAGAGCAAATGTTGCGAATGGGAAGTGTGGAGCTTGTGGTGCCGAGGAACGACTTGCGGTAGCGGTGCGCACCGACCACCGTGGACAAGCTACCCAGCAAAACAACCAAACCTCCTCCTCATCCTCCTCCTCCCGTGCGCAATAACACAGCACTCGTGTCCGTCCGTCGTGTACACAACGCGCCCGCTGTTTCCGTACGAGCAGGCATCCGATGGAAGCTTGCCGAAGAAAGACGCACTCGGTCTTGGGTTGGTTCAGTTTATCAGGAATCCAGGAACCCGGCTCAGAAAACATTGGCCGTTTTGATTTGTTGGTGGTTGTTGTTGTTGTTGTGCCGTGCGTCGTTGGCTCAGTTTTGTTTCCATTACGTTCTCAAGTTGTTTTCCCCGTTATAAGAATTGGTTTTACCCCTTTCTGGCAATAAGACAGGTTTTAAGATGTTTAAACACCAAACAGAAACCGTTTTTGTGGTTGTTGCAAAGGAATCATTCGCCTCTTGGCGTCCTCTTGTCGAACACCGTTTGAGACTAGGCTCGAAAGAAAGCTGTCTCTGGTGTGGACTAATCAGTTTCAAAGACAATGCACATATTACCATAAGCATGTTCTTTTTTGCATGTTCACCACGAGTACGTGTGGTTAATTCAGACATGATTCCTTGCAAAAGGTTTCTGTTTTAAAACTTAACACCTGTTGTATTGCCAGAAAGGATTAAAACCTATGCTTATATTTTGATGCCGGCGAGGGAGGGTCCCACGATGTTTGCCTGTGTTTGGGATGTGTGGGGAGAGGTAGAGAAGGAGAGAGAGAGGGCTACGCAATTGCCTCGAGAGCAACCACGACGCCCGACTTTGTAAAACGAAAGTTTAACGCAAACAAGAGCAGCAGTGTTACGACCTACAAAGAAACGCTACAACGTACGTTTTATTTTTTACTCGAGGTATAAATGCCTACGTCTGAAAGTGAACACTGCAGGACCAGTGCACTACTGACACTAAACACACACAAAAAAACACAAAAAACATTCAGAGATAAAAAACAAAATAAGAATAAAAAAAACGCTACCAAACTGCGAATAATGTTGGAAAATTCAGCATTGATTTACGGGGGTAGTGGGGGGCGGGGGGTGAAAAAATACTCGTTATATGTTTTGTTATTAAACCTCCTTTCACGTTTGTTGACTTGTTGCAGCGGAACCTTTGGGTTGGTTGGCCTGTGTTACTCGTGGTGATGCTGCGAGCGGTCGCAAGGAGGTCAGTAAACGTGCGGGTGGAGCGGGGAGTTTAATTCTCGAATGGAAATCAACACTCCCCCCTTACCCCCCCCCCCCGTTATGTGATGGAGGAGGAGAAGAGAGCTGGTGGGAGAAGGAGGGAGAATGTGGAGCGGAGGGGTTTGCACTGTATGCGGTCTGTTAAAATGTTTATTTTTATTACGGCACTATTGCTCCTTGAACTCCACGCGCTAATCGGAAGAGCGTCATGTTAAATCTCCCAAGGCCCACACCTATGTGTATGTATATTGAACTTATTTTGCACCCGCACGTAGCCAGCCGTTCTAATCGGAGGTGGGGTGGGGGGGAGAATGACAACAGATGAAACACAAAAAAGCAGTTCTAAAGAGATGAGTTTTAAATTTAGATTTAAAATTGCATAGCTCCAGTGGCTTCCTAATATCGGAAGGAAGAGCGTTCCAGACGGCCGCAGAAGCGCATCTGAAAGCGCGCGATGCAGTGACCTCTTTGTTCGATGGCCAGCCAAAAAAAAATCGAAGGCTCGCATATACTAGCATATGCACGTGCGCACAATGGCACAGTATTTCTATTTTTAATCGGAGAAGCGCCCATATGCAATTGTGTTTTGCCTTCGTGGACATAATCGGCATGGTACAGCTCTGTAAAATGTTCCACAACAGAATTGCCGACAACGGTTAGAGGGATCGCTTCTCTCACGCTGGGGAATGCACAAAGACTTGCATTTACCAGTGACCAGTTGCATAAAATACCTTTGTGAACCCAAATCACCATCCGCCACCATGGATGATGAAATACTGCAGGCATAGTAACAATCATAATTTATAGTCCTTTTCTTGGTTCTTTCGGTAAAGTCACGTAGAATGGAAATAATAAAATAATAAAATTAAGACATAATAAAATAATTATTTCCATTCTACGTGACTTTACCGAAAGAACCAAGAAGACGAATCCCTGCAGTCACGAAAGCTTTACATCGAAATTTATAGTCCTTTCGTCAATACACATCTGGATGAAGGCCTCCCCCACGCCGTGTCAGTCATGGGAATCGGTTGACCATACTTCACCATGCTGGTCAGTGTGAGTTGGTGGAGGCGAGAGACCCGGGACCAGTTGAAATATCGCTAGCCCTCAGTCAGCCGTGGCCAGTAATTCAACTCAAAATGATGGGTTCGCAGCGCATTGCGCTAACCACTGCGCCGCCACTCCCAATTGTCGGCACCAAATAGACAAACGTGGGAAGGCTCCGTCTGGAAGGCCCACAGGTGGATGGACTAGCATTTGTTTACGTGGTTACTGGACTTTTGTCTGTCGATTATTTGTATGTTACATCGAGGTACACTGTATTTCTACTCTTAGGTTTTTTCGGTAAAGTCACGTAGGTAAAAAATAATAAAATTAATAAAAGGAATAATAATAAAAATATTTCATTATTGAAAAAGAAATTTATTTATTAATTATCTTATTTTAATTATTACTTTTATTAATTTTAATTTTATTATTTTTTACCTACGTGACTTTACCGAAAAAACCTAAGAGTATGAATCCTTGCAGTCACGAAAGCTTCAAATCTAGAAATACTGTATTTCGCCATTGATATTCTAAAGCAGTAAACTCGGGTACCAATTACGAAATAATAATTAATTTGTTATTTAAAATAAGCAGTGGCACGCACGGTGGTTACCGCGCTGCACTATGAACCCGGCAACCTGAGTTCGATTCCGTGCCACAGCTGAAATAAATAATAGCGAGCGGCATCTCAACCAGTCCTGGTTGTCTCCCTGTCACAAAACCAGCAGTCATTAGAGTGGTGAAGTATGTTATATTCTTAGGTTTTTTCGGTAAAGTCACGTAAAAAAAAATTAAAATGTAAATTAATAAAAAAAATCTAGAATGGTGAAGTATGGTCTAACAACCCCAGTGACCGACGCGGTGCAAGGAGGCCTTCGCTTCGTGGGTGGTGACGTGGCCCATCGCCTGCAGCGTTCTCCGCTCGCTGCCGAGATTCACGGTTCGAATCCAGTCGCCACCCCGGTTAATACTGCGGGAGTATTAACCGTAATGTTACGAGCCGTCCGCTTCACACTGGACGCGTTCAGATCCTTTTGACGTGATTCGCAAGAGGAGGCAATTGTGTGCCGGCGTCAACGGTCTAAACTTGCCACGTTCGAAACTGACCCACAAATGACTCAATGAGGCGCGCTAAACATAGCAGCAGTCATCACCTCCCTCCTGGCAGACTATTGCCCCAGGTCAGTCTTGTAAGTGAAACGCATTCTGGTCTCTTGAGTTCTCACCCGCACAAAATAAACTTGAAACTTGCACGTGGCTATTTAT